AAGGTGTTCATGTTAGACCTGCTCTGGGGTGTGGTGTAAGGTGATCATGTCAGCACTGCTCTGGGGTGAGGTATATACAGGTTTGGATTGGGTCAAAACGTATTTGGGCTTTGAATCTTGGGACAGCCGCAGTGTGGACACAGAAGGTAATGTCCTCCTCACTTGCCGTGAAGCCTCACAATCTGTAGGACGGTATGTGGCCAGGGGAGACCCTTTGGCCTGAGAGCCCCTGGCTGTCACCCCCACCTGGGGAATGTGTGACTGGACAAGAGGGTCAACAAGGCTGCAGCCGCTCTGCCACAAGGTCTTGCAAGAGCAGAATATGAGCTGAGTGCGGAGGCTATGCCTATGATTCCAGCAACTTCTGAGGGTGTGGCAAGAGGTGTGCTCGCCGTTTCCTGCCTCTCCAAGGCAGTGAGAGCTGGACTCAAAAAATAAAATGGATGGTGGTGTCATTCAGCGGCTGGGCATTCAATCCCTGGTCCCCCCAAAACAAGAGTGGAATGTTCTACCTGGGCAAGGTGGTCCTCTCCTGTCTTCCCTGAGACTTGAGAGGCTGAGGCAGGAGGATCCCAGGTTCAAGGCCGCCTGGGCAATTTAGCAAGGCTCTCAGCAACCTATAGAGACTCTGTCTCAAAAGAGAAAATAAGAAAGTCTGGGGAGGTGGCTCAATGTTTTAAAGCCCTTGTGACAAGCAAACAGACGCTCAGTGGAGCAGAGTATGGGCTGAATCAAATCTACCTGTAGACTGCTTTGGACAGCATGGAATTTCTCATTTGATATTTTTGTAGCTGTCGATGGACAACATGCCTTTGTTTTATTTGATTATTTTCATGTGGTGCTGGGGACAGAACCTGGTGCCTTACCCATGCCAGGCAAGGGCTCTGCCGCTGAGTCCCAGCCCCAGGCCCTCATTTTCATTTTTATATGAAAGTTTTTATTAGTTTAACTCAAAACTTTGTTCTCTCTCTCTCTCTCCTGGGATTGAGTCCAGTGGTGCTCTACTACCACTGAGCCACACGGCATCTTTTTATTCTGAGACAGGGTGGTGCTAAATGGCTGAGGCTAGTCTCAACCTCGTGATCCTGAGATCATAGACATGAACCACCATCTCCACCTTGTTTTCTGATTTTTTTTTACGTTAAAAATTAATGTCAATGAGGTTAAAAAACACAACATCTTGTGAGTTTTTCACTTTGCCTTAACTTAATTTCAATGGATTTTCCATTATCTGGATAGATCATGGTTTTCTCCGTTACTATCTTTTGTATTTAAATTTTTTAGGATGAAGCTCTGTGGCTGGGAGGTTCACTGGCACCAAACCCAAACAGACTGAGCCAAAACCCTGAAGCTGCCTACTTCAGCTGAAGATGAGGATTTTTGCTTCCAGGCTTTCTTCACAGGTGCTGAGGACCCCAGGGTCCCCAGGTTGCTCCTCGTACTGGGCTGTGCCCACAGCCAGGATTTCATTTCATGTATTTAGCAGTGTTCGGACTTGTTTGAAGACAGGCCTCTCTAAGTCGCCCCTGCGGGCTCGGAGCTGGTGACCTTGGGGGCTCAGCCTCCCAGCAGCAGGGCTCAGGGGTGTGGGCACCAAGGCCACTTCAACAGAGGCTGCTGAACGGGGTCTCACGGGGCTCCACCACCGAGCCGCACCCCAGCCCCCAGAGCCAGGGGCTGTTTTAAATGCCCAATGAAAATAGGTTGGATGGATTTAAGATCCATCACGGCTCCTAGCCAGGTGCGGTGGGGCCGGCCTCTCATCCCAGCCCCCGGGGAGGCTGAGGCCGGAGGATGGAGTTTGGGGCCAGCCTGGGCAAGTGAGCCGACCCTGTCTCAAAGTAAGTAAAAAGGACTGGGACCTTGGCCCCCGGCAGAGCCCCGCCAGGTTCAAGAAAACCGGAACTCTGGGGGAAGTCTCT